GCTTTCAAGGTCTAATTTAAGATTACATTTGTATATTTTGCTATGATACACAAATAAATATTAAAATAATCTCTAAGCTGAAGCTAAAAAGTACAATTTGATTTTGCAGAAAAATTTGCCGGAAAATTATGGCGATTAAATTTTTACTTTTTAAGTTTGTTAACTTCAAGTATAATTGGAAAAGAATAATAATTACTAGTGGGTTATTATGTTATGAAAAAGTGTCATTGATGTAATACTTGTCGAAAGACAATATGAGAAAGCAGACATTGAAGTTATGTTTGCAACATTTGGTCATGGTGATAACTATCCATTTGATGGACAAGGAGATGAATTAGCTCACGCATTCTATCCAAATGACCAGTACATTACGGACAAACTCATACTAATGATATCGACCCAGGGTCAGTGCTTTCTGATTTTGTCTCGAGAAATTTATTTACTTTTTTATAGTAATTTAAGATTATTTGAGTAATTTTATTGCTTAAAAAGTTTAAAAAAATGCTCACTTGCTATTTTATAGTGATGAATATAAAAGAAATTAGTGATGCAAATTTTAGTTCTTGTTAATATTTTAATGGGCCCATGTCGAAGAAACTTAAACTGGGTTTATGGCACATGAATTAGACCGTGCATTAGGCCTTCCTCGTAGCGAACAGGAATCTTTGATGGCATCACACTATCAAGGATTTTTCGATACATCAAAACTATTCCCCACTGATATTTCTGCTAAACAATCACAGTATGGTTCGTTTCAACTCAGAATTCTAAACATTTATGCAAGTAACCTCGAAAGAATCTGCAGTGCTGCCCGACATTTTTTTCTAAAGAAAATTCAAACTTAAATAAAGTAGCAATAATTTTTGAATTATGTGAAACTTGTGACTTTAAAAATTACTGATTTTAACACTCTTGCAGTGAGAAAATTGGCAGAAAAAACTTTTTAATTGCAGTGGAATCAGCAAGTTTTGGCATTAGTTCGTTCGGAATACAATAATATTAAAATTTAAATTTGAAAAAATTTTAAAAAGCGGAAAATATACCATTTAGTCATCAAACCAGTTGC